CTCTGGACTCCCTTACAGAGAACTGCCCTGTCTCACTCTCTGGACTCCCTTACAGAGAACTGCCCTGTCTCACTCTCTGGACTCCCTTACAGAGAGCTGCCCTGTCTCACTCTCAGGACTCCCTTACAGAGAGCTGCCCTGTCTCACTCTCTGGACTTCCTTACAGAGGGCTGCCCTGTCTCACTCTCTGGACTCCCTTACAGAAGGCTGTCTCACTTACTCTCTTAGGTGCCTTACTCTCTACATCTCTACTTGTTTTCAGAGTGTTGTACTCACTTTGTACACTCTAGGCAAAGATACTTCTTCAGGTTAGCACATTAAAAAATCAACTTGAGTTTCAAATTCACAAACCCTTTCTTGAGAACAGTGATAATACTCATTCTGGTTAGCCCATCTTAGATCATCCACTTTACTTCAAAATTTTGTCAGGGTAGTTGCATGTGGGCAGGATTAGTTGAGTTCAATTACATATAGTTATAAGGGACAAGTAGTTCAGGTGGGTAGCTGCATCAGCATGTGTAGTCTGCAAAGGAACAAGTAATAGGTTTATTCCATACCGAAAAGAGAAGAGAGAAAACAACGTTTCGGCTGTGATGTTTTCCTCAGCTGTGAGGCTTCACAGCCGAAGCAGTTTTCTCTCTTCTCTTTTCAGTATGGAATAGACCTATTACTTATTCCTTATAAGGGAGTGCACAAAGAGAAATTCTTTGCATTGTGCAGAGTAGAATTTGCTCCATTTCCATAGTGCATTGCATTCTTTGCATGACAGATTCATAACATATATGTCAATTATATTGTATTGTTGTAATGCATTAGAAAAGAGTTTCCTTCCAGATCTGACATCGCCAGGAGATCAGGCTGTCATACATTGTACTGCCTCTATAACAGCAATATACTTCTTGGAGTGATAAAAGTTAATCACCTTATTTCAGTAAGGTTTAACTAATGCACAGTATAATTTTAACATACAAATATAAATTAATAGGATATGGCTTCCATTTCATGACAATATTATTCAGTCTGCAGACAGCACTCAGCGCAGTACTACTGCTGCACCTACCCCTGCTGGTAAGATTGATAACAAGAACATTAGTGCCCTCTTGTGGCCAATGAGACTTATGACAGTTAGTGGTGTAGAAGGTAAATAGCTTTAATTATAAGAGTAGAAAACCTTTTCAGAAATAGGCTATCTATTAGGGCATCTATGTTATAATACAAAATCTGATACTTTACAGTAAAAGAGCATAGTACTGTTTTCTATTTCTGTCGCTATTTTCTCAATCGCTGTACGTGTACAATATCTGTTAAACTTTCTCCTGTGTTCTTTCTATACCAAGATCCACAGTGCGTAGTCTAATGGCCTATCCTTTTATTCTCTCTTTCATGTCCCTGCCCCTGTGGGACCCTGGTTACTTCCTGCTTTCAGCTGATCCAGAGTGACCTGGATGATGATGATGAGGACCAGGGGTCAGGAGGCCGCGGGACCCTCCGTTTCAAGCACAAGCACCCAGTGGAGCTGCGTGGGCCAGAGGGCATCCATGCTGTGCACGGGAGCACAGGCACTCTGCTGACCTCTGACCTCAACAGCTTGCCTGAGGATGACCAGCGTGCCCTGGGCCGCTCCTTGGAAGCCCTGCATGGCGAGGCGGGCCCCTATAGTGACCGCAACGCACGTACCGAGTCCGCCAAGTCCACGCCACTGCACAAGAACAGAGAGACCATCATGGAAAGCCCACTGGAGATCACAGAGCTATGACTAGCCGAGGCCTCGCTGGTTTGAGTGCCACAGCCCCCCCTACTGCCCTCTCTCCTCTTTTCTTACCCCCGAGTCTCTTCCCTGGGGTATGGAGGAAGAGTAGTAGCCTCCACAGAAGGTATTAACGAGAGAGGGGCAGTGAGGGGGACACTGTGGCGTGTGTGCGGTCCGAAGTTACACAGTTCAAGGTTGGCATGGTCCACAAACTGCCCTTTCCTTCCTCAGCGCTGTGCATTTCATCAGTCAAAGACCTGTGGGAACAGACCTCCTGACTGAAGTAGAAGCTGTTTTCAGAAAGCAGCACTATGAGTTTCTGAGAGCAACAAACTGCCGAGCTCTTGCTCTGCAACCATGTCTCCTGGAGGCTCTAGCTGTCATTCGAAGCAAGCAGCTGGCTCAATGAATGGGTCCTGTCATTACCAGGTTCCTTCCAGGCCGATCATTATGGACTGTATATGTTCAGTTTTTCATGGTCCAACCTTCATCTCCAGCACAAATCCATTGAGAGCACACCAAATGAGAGAAGGTTTAATAGAGAGACCTGGTCCAAGTCAACATGAAGTGTGGCAGGGTTTCAGTCCCATTGGCTGGAAAACCTTAAAGATTGACTTCAGAATCACTATCCGTAGATGTGGGTCAATCCATCCTTAAAAAGAATAGATTACAAGGTCACAAATCCCAGAATATACCCAGAGAGGACAATATGTGGAAAGCACTTCCTAGACCTTTTATGGAGGCCAATGCTCCACAATCTGTGAAAGTGGCCTCTGACCCTGTGTGGAGGAAAATGAGAAGTCCTGACAGAAACTTTCATGTTAAAAATGAACATTAAGCTACCAGGCTTGTTCCTCAGACACAACTGCACCATTGGCTCTCAAGGAGAAAAGGGAAGGACTGGGGCAAAAGGAAGACATTAGAAGTCCACCTGAACACAAGTGAACCAGGTTGACGTGCTTCTGACCGCACACACAATCAAACCAGCAACAGGCCACAACTACAGTTGTTTTGTTCAATTTAAGACTCTGAAAATTGAATATGGACAGAAAGGTATTCATGGCCTTTCTACATCACTGTGAGGGGGGAACCCACACCATTCTACCCTTCTCAAGCTTAGGGCAACAGATCTGTGGTCATGGGGTCATATGGACTGTTACAATGACCCTGCCTCTGACCAAATCAGAAGTACTCCTCCCATCCAAACAGGCTCAGGCCAGAATGCAGTTTTTTTTTTGTTTAAAAAATTAAGTGATCTTTGGTGAAATGGTGAATCGGATCATTATATCTCCTCAGAAGACATGAGACAAGAGTTCCACAGAGGTTTGGCATACATCTAGATATTAAAGACACCCTAACACTTATGCCCAGACAGGCCACAGCTTATATCAAAGCTGTTTCAAGAAACAGCTGGATGAGATCCTGGAATCATTCAGCTATTATTAACTACCAAATGGGCTAGATGGGCTGAATAGCCTCCTTGTTTTTAATTGTTCTTAAGTTCTAATAATGGGGCTGAGCTGGGAGATGCAGTCCTGGCATTGGGATTACTCAGCATGGGGCAATTTAAACAGACTGACTGCTGCCTGCATCAGTGGACAGTCTCTGCTCAACTCCAAGACTAACAAAAGAGGGAGTTGTCCATAGAATGAGCACTGCCACTACCCGAGGACATCTTTTCTTAGTTATGTTTCAATATTTTTTGATGAAATGCTGATTTACCAAAAGTGAGTGCAAGTGGATGAACAAAACTGTCTTTTTTTTTTGGTGTGTGTGCCGTTTTCATTTTGTATTTTTTTGTATGTTTTTTTATGGCTATGGGGTATTTATTGAATGGTCTGTAATAAAAGAAATATGCAATGGCCATCTCTCCTTTGCATAATGGATCAAAAATAACAAGAGAAAATACAGTACACTTCACTTGTGGGTGCCATGCTAAATTGAACTAGGGGTTCAGGATATTAAAGACATTCCAGCTTTATAATATTCCTCCACAGATGCTTCCAATGTTTTTTACAGCAGCAGTGCCACATATTTAACCACTTACAACAAGCTGGAGAAATGCATGGAAGATGTCATACTATGCTTTTTAAGAGATGAGTGGCATGCTTCACATCAGTGATGTAGTTTTCCCCATTATTAACACAATAGGTTTCTTGTAATGTAAAAGCTCCCATTTTCCCCAGTGGTAATGGTAAAAATTTCCAGTACACAAATGTAGCAAGAAACTGCACATGTATTTCAGAAGAATAAAAATTCTAGTTTGGGGAATGTATGCACTTTGGATCCGTTAGTATAGATCAGAATAGACTAAAAGCTGTACTTAATGAAATATAGGAGGGTCTTGCATTTTGCACAAGTGTTTAAAACCCTCACTTATTACAACACTAATAAGCTTAGTTTTCCCCCATAAGGTATTAACTAAATAAGTGAGCAAATCCTATCAAATTTCACATTTGCCAAAACAGAATTTCAAGAAACTTTCCTCCATAACATGAGTGGGATTTGTTGGCTGCTCATGTGGGCACAGAAGTTTCATAAGAAGCTAAATAAGTTCCTCAATGAGAAGGAACAAGATGAAAACTGGCTTGTTCAGGAACCAAATGCCCTTGCAGACATACATCTCGAAGGTGGAGAAGCAAGTGCCAGGATTTAAGGTGGCAAAGGACCCAGTGTGCTGCTTCTGTGCAGTAATGATGAAGTCCTGCAGGGCATCATACACAAAGAATGATGAACTTTTTGCCATATATTGGAACTCGAGAGGCTTGGGTGACTATGCAATCTTTCTGGACTGGTTTCGTAAGTGCTTCGTATTTATGGGCAGAAGGGTAGGATAACACTTGCTAGGGCGAAGATATTTCACCTGATGTGTGCGATCTGAAGGTCACCTTACAGCCCTGTCCCATAAAATGTATTTCTCACATTGAAGCTCAACTCCATCCCTGTGATATTCATTCACAATCAAATCTGAAGCCTTACTGTATGTACATAAAGCACAGCAAAAGGAGCACAACAAGTGGATTTAGAATGTTTATTTAAACTTTGTTAAAATCAATTCGATCCATTTGCAACATCCATATTTGCTCAATATTGAAGATGGGTTGATTGTGCACAATGACAAGTTAACAAAATTTGCTAAATGCAAGTAGTCTCAGACTGCAGGAAAGAAAAGCAGACAGCATGACAGACAAGTCACGCTATTCCTTTCTCATGTCACAGGTGACATGGTCTCAGGCTCATTTACAACAAATCTAGCAGTTCTACAAAATACACCAAGCTCATGTTAGAAGCAATCTCTTTCAAGTTTAAGTTTTTTAGAAGAAAAAAAACTTACTTCACTTAAACTGGCCAAAAACCTGTGGGCCCACCCATTGCCATGATGCAAGTCAGCAGGGCGTTTGGAAGTCCAGTAACAGTTGCCTAAATGCTGGGATCATCTATGAAAGCCCAATTCAAGCCAGCCGATACAAAAGGAAGTGTGGTCCACCACACAAAGGTTATTGGTTCATCATCTCCCAGTGATGAGGAACCCTGGTCCTTGAATTTCAGTTTAACAGCTCAGCTTAATCAGCTGAACACACTGAGCAATTTTAGTTTCCAATTTTAAAAAGGCCAGGAAACATGCAGAACTATAGTGTTCCAGGACCAGGGTGACCCATCACAAACCTATACTCTCCTGCTAGTACAGACCAGATGGCTAAAGTTTATCCTCATTCCCCCCTCAAGGCACTGGATTCATAAAACCTCAAATCGCAATTTAAACTGAAGTGTCAGTGTCTTCAAACCGAGAATTTCTGTAAAAATTATTTACATCCCTGTATCCGAAGAGAAGGGGAAGCACTTATTAAGCATTACTTTAGAGCACTTAGAGTTGAATATTCAATCTCCCTGGGGAACAATTTAGGTTCTGTCACCAAGTGCCACCCCCCAGCACACACATCTGATTCAGCCCAGAAGACTCCCTTTGTCTCCAATATGAACTGCCACCAACACAGCGATTTGTGTACAAAAAAGCTCACTGACCTAGTCTTCCCCTGTTCATATTTAAAAAAAAACAGCCTATGCACAGTACATGGCATCCTTACTCACAGGTTTTTATATAAAATAACCCCACACCACCCCAATACACAGGCTTATCAAAGGATAAGAAACATTTAACCCAATGCAGTTATTTTAAGTCTAAAAAAAATGACCGAATTTAAAGTTACAAAGCAGTTCTACATTATCTTTCATTTTTCCCAGGTAAGATTGTCGTCCTTGCTGCTCCTCTTCCTCTAGTTCCACACATGTCGTCTGCAGTGCTCAACAGCCTGAAGAGGAGAAAGCACACTTGGTTCTTCCTCATGCAAAACCTTAAATACTAGCATCCAGGTTAATAAAGTTTGGTTGTCTTAACTCGAGTCAGCCAGGTGTTACAGGTCTCTAAATTGTAACATGGCTGGAAGAATGTGTTAATCTGACTGAGATGGGTAACAGTATAAAAACAGAGATCCCAAGGGAGATGAAGATCACTGGGTCTACAGGTTTACCAGGACTACAAAGCAAACTGACTTCTGCTTCAATAAATGGCTTAACTGGAACACTTATGTTTTACTAGGAGATAAGAGACTGCCAAAGTTACCCAGATTTTAAACTCCATGACAAAAGCAGACTCATTGGGCAGAGAATACAAGGAGACACAGAAATGGGAAAGATTATAATACTCACATCACAACGAGATGCAGTGTCCATGTTCTTGCACCAGTAGGATGGCCCCCAGCTGCACTCCTCTGTTCCTAGCAGTGACTTCAGAGCATCAGGACAGGCACCAACTTTCTGAAGGGTCAGGAAATACAGCAGACCTCTTATACTGGGCACAAGACTCAGACTGTACAGCTTATCCTACTTATGTTCTCTGCCAAGACTGTACACCACCGCTCAGCAGGTGCATCAATCGCTCCATGATGCTGTTCTTGTAATATACAAGTAGGGTAGCCAATTTACTAAGAAATGAAAATTGATACACATACAAAAAACATAGGGAACCTTGCAGAGCAGAGAACACTAACATTGTTGTCGACTGTTGAGGACATAGGGTATTTCCTGGGGTCTTAAAGCATGAAGATCTTCAGCCAGAACACTCTCAGATGTATATACATGTTATCTGCTCCCACAGATAACCAATGCATAGACAAAACTAAATAAATTTCACTGCTCCACAAGACACAGGTTTCATGAGTTGCTCAAAACAGGCCAGTTAATTTTACTGTATCCAACTAAATTATGAAAATGGCTGAATATTTGATGATGTAGAAGAGCACTACTTGAATACATGTGGAAATTGCAATCAGTCATACTGGTCTCTGGAGAGCAGGGCTAAAACAGGAAAACTCACCGTGCACACAAAGTCTGGGTCCAGCATCTGCAGGAGCAACTGCACAAGGAGGGGCTCGTACTGCTGCACCAGCTGGTCACACTGCACAGAGAGGGAGATGCACTCAGAGGGTACAGTTACAGAGCACAGAAGGTGAACAAGCCAATACATGCAGGACTGTCTCACACACAACCTATGCAAGTCAACGAGCACAGTAATCAGTTACTTAAAAGATTCTTGGTGGCTTCTATGTAGGTCTATAAAGGTAACTGCAAAAACCAGATATTCTAATATACCACACAGGACAGTCAGTGTTATAAGGAGAAACCTCAAATTCCAGTTATAAACCAGCTGTCACTGTAGCTGACCACATTAAATATTTTAGGGCAGACACCGTCACGGTTCTCTTTTGTCCCATTCTCTGTTCAGACCATCTTCTCTATACAGCTTCAGACTCTTTCCGCACACTTACCTCGTCCCTCACTGTTTCAGGCAAGAAGTTACACACTTTCCTCACTGCTTCCTCAATCTGGGCCTCTGTGGCATTCTGCTCCAGAATACCATCAATATAGCGCACTGCCATCTTGCACACGTCACAGAACCCACCTAACTGGAAATGAGCCTTGTCCATCACTGCTGCTTGGTTAAAGAAAAACAAATTAGACAATAAGTCCACATTACAGGACATTAACAAGAAAAAAAAAATGCAGTTTTTAAAAGCCTGAAAGAACATTCAGCTGCAATACTCTTGAATCATTCCCACAGCTCGGATACATCTGGAGCAGGATCCTACATCACATCCGACAAAACTCACGGATATAGGGACGGCCACGGCACAACCCCAGCAGGGTGCACACAGTCTTGGGGTCAGCCTCCTGCACCAGCAGCTCGATCACAGCCTTGCCATAGACCTCAATCAGGTCACGACACTGAGCAGAAAGGGCACTCGGCAGCAGGGAGCACACCTTCTCCACTGCATGCACCACTGCCTCCTGGGGTGGGGAGGAGAGCGAGAAAGATGCTGTAGCAAAACGAAATGTTTGTGAAAGAATATACATGCCTACAACAAGATGTGTTGATTGGGAAAGGTAAAAGTGCTCAATAACTTGTCAAGTTGCAAGAAAGTTTGTGAACCCTTTAGTATTACCTGAGTTTTTTCATTACTCATACAAATGTGGTCTGATCTTCAACTAAGTCACAATAATAGACCACCTACTTAAACCAATAACACAAACAACCTGTACTTCTTGTCTGTACTGAACATAATTTAAACATCCACAGTCTAGGTCGGAAAAACTATGTGAACCTCTAGGCTAATGACTTCTCCAAAAGCTAATTAGAGCTGGGTGATCCAATCAATGACATGAGATTGGAGGTGCCATGCCCTATAAAAAAAGGCACACAAGAGTTGGTTAGTGACAGACTGCTATTCTAAAGAAGATAGCCGTTCATGTGAACCATGCCCCAATCAAAAGAAATATAGGGGGACTTAAGAATTATAGAGGTGCATAAAGCTGAAAAGGCATTTCTAAAAGCATGGGTGTTCATCAATCCACAGTAAGAGAAATTGCCTACAAATGGAGGAAAATGAGTACTGTTGCTCCTCTCCCTAGGAGTGGGCGTCCTGCAAAGATCACAGCAAGAGTGCAGAATGCAATGCTGAAGGAGGTGAAAAAGAACCCGAGGGTAACAGCAAAGCACCCGCAGATTCTCTTGAACTTGCCAAAGTCTCCATTCACGTGTGTACTATAAGAAAAACACTGAACAAGAATGGTGTTAATGGAAGGACACCCCAGAGGAAACCACCACTCTCCAAAAACAATGTTGCTGCACTTTTCAAGTTTACAAAAGACCACCTGGATGTTCCACAACAATTGTTTCTGGGACAATGCTCTGTGGATGGATTGAAGTCAAGTCAAGTTGAACTCTTTGGCAGAAACGCGCACAATGTTTGAAAGGAAAAAAAGCACTGCACACCAACATCAAAACCTCATCCCAACAATGAACCATCATGGCCTGGACAGCTTGCTATCAGAGGGAACAATGAATTCAAAATTGTATCAAGAAGTTTTACAGGAGAATGTCAGGGTAGCAGTCCATCACCTGAAGCTTAATAGAAGTTGGGTGATGCAACAAGACAATGACCCGAAACACAGGAGTAAATCAACAGAATGGCTTAAACAGAAGAAAATTCATGTTCAGGAATGGCCACGTCAGATTCCAGACCTCAACCCAAATGAGATGTCATGGCATGATCTGAAGAGAGCTGTTCATGCAAGGAATCCCAGAAACACCAATGAACTGAAACAGTTTCATAAGGAGGAATAGACTAAGATTCCTCCTAACCGTTGTGCAAGTCTCATCAGCAGCTACAGGAAACGTTTAGTGGAGGTTATTGTAGCTAAAGGATGTTCTACCAGTTAATAAAATACAAAAGGTTCACATATTTTCTACCAGCATGGACTGTGAACATTTAAATGATGTTTTCAATAGTGACAAGAAGTACAATTGTTTGTGTTATTTGTTTTAGCAGATTGTGTTTTTCTATTATTGTGACTTAGTTGAAGATCAGACCACATTTTTTATGAGTAATTAATACAGAAAGCCAGGTAATTCCAAAGGGTTCACAAACTTTTTCTTGTACCTGTATATATCCGACTGTGAATAAATGCTATGTAGTGGTGTTCTGCAATAGTGCCAGGTGGCTATAGACCATGTTTGTACTCTTAACATATTATAAACAAGCCCCTGGAGTTTATGAGCATCCAAGATAGATATGTACTGATACAATCACATTTTCAAAAATACATACAGATGATTCATCCTCCCTCACTACCAATGTACGGCGAGGACAGCATACCTCAGAAGTCTTTCCTTCCAGGATACTCTCAATCTCCTTCAATACCAACTCGCACACTGTGCACTGTGGGGGTTCACCAACTTTCACCAGCTTCTGAAGAGAAAAGAATGACCAGAATCAGTCCCACACATTTCATGTTCTTATTCCTTATAAAAACTACAGACTAACAATTACGATGAAAAACAAAGTCCTTTTACAGAGTGGAAATGATCACTCTGGAAGGAATGTGGTCTTACTGTGCACTTCTTAAAGACTAGAAACAGGGTGTACAAATTCACAAACTTTCTAGGACTTGAAATTTTCCTCAGAAATAAGTGCATGTTGTTTCAGTTGCTAGGCAGATTACTTCCTAGTAAAAGGAAGGGGGATTAAATGGTCTCTTCTTGTTGGTTATATACCCAAGACAGCATTACAGATTTCCCCCATACATTCCAGACATTCAGAGACCCTCTTAATAGACCATGCATCAGTTATGCTAGTAAAGTTTTAATTTACAGTTTTTCAGAGTAAAATTTAAAGCAAGTTTCTTATATAAGGGTTTAAGCTGGCCACATAAAGCATTTACTGATTTTAAAGTATGGATGAAGAGACTTATTTACTAGGTTATACTGCAAAGTCAAAATTCACTTAGCTGGCAGTCTTTGGCTGTCCAGCAATAGAATGGGGTACAACTGTTTTTACTCATCTTCTCCCTATGGGATAATGCAAGCGCATATGTTGCCATTACCTTGGCAGGCTTGAGCTCAGCAGGCTTCACTACCTTGGCTGGGAAGAGCTTAGCTGCTACCAAGGTCTCCATGGGAACAGAGTGATGAACAGAGCAGAACCCAGCCCGGCTGCAGATGTCTTCTGGAGCCTACAAAAAAGCATGACACCAATGTAAGAGTCAGGTTATGTTGGTGAAATGCAAGACAAGCCTGGGTACAGAAAACAAGTTTACTAAAGAGCACTAAACACGAGTCTAGATTTAAGACTAGGCAGAAAACATTTTGGACTAGTCTGCCTTCTCAATTTGTCCAATATTTCCAGGTTTACTGCACAAATATCCAACTGATGCTGTGATTTGGTCAGGTAAAAGTAATAAATATGACTTTTAAATACTTCTACTACTTTTGAAATTAAATACTTCGACCAAAACACAAACATGTATATCTCTTGCTTAAAGAGTACTATATTAATACACATTCATAACAGAGGACCTCAAACACAAAAAAAAAAAAAACAGTGGCTGTCTGGCTCTTAATATAAACCACTGCCACCGGTATGCCGTGTGGTCAGAGTGGGAGGGCGGAAAAACACCAGACATGCAAGGGATAAGCAGTCACCATCTTTGCTATCCCAGATGCAATACCTGGCCCCATTTCATCCATGCATCAGCTGACAGTTATAATATCTAGAACATCTTGTTATACTTTTAAAACCAGGGGCCAGTACCAGACAAGACTATGGGGGGTGAAGTCCAGCATCTACAGAAAATGTATTTTCTTTATAACCCTCAATCTGCACTCCTTGAAATTCCTGCTCCCAGTTTGAAAGATACAAGCAGTTCAAGTCATTTTTAGAAGATTCCTGTATGATTAATGCATGGACATGCATGCATTAATATGAACTACAAGCAAAGGAATTAATGGAAAGCTAGGGTTTTATCAAAAGACCATTTGCCAGGAGGCACAGGATAGAGGGTTAGAAATATTTGTTCTGCTTTAAAAAAATCCTGGGCTTTGGAAAATTCATTATGGCAAAACAGTTATTAGCACATTTATCTAGAAACTGCAGTGTATTGAATTAGAGTGCCGAGACTACGAGAGGTCTGGTAACATCATCCATTCCATGTATTTGCTCCAAATAACCAGTAACATATTGAGGTGAACTCCAAGAGATCTTTGAAATTGTTAAACCATCCTCATGCAAAGCTGTAAATGCAGTACATTGCAAACTTGCTATACCCATGCAATCAACCAGGAATGCAGTCCACTACAGTGAACCTTTTACAACCACCCCTCTCTCCCACATAGTCCAGAGTGTCTAACTTGGGCACCAGGTGAGGGGGGGGGAGGGGGTGAGTGGCTACAGAGGTGAGCAGAACTACCACACTACATCACAGCAAGTCAACCAGTAACTAGAGGGAAAGCTACAGAGACAGAACACCTACCTGTTCCTGCAGATCGGAGAGGAACAGAGTAGAAAAAGAAATAATCATAAAGGAAAAAATAAAGAACAGGTGATTAAAGAACCAGAAAGTCACAAGACTGCATTAAGATCCACAGCATATAGAAATGTTTTGTTCCAATTCCTTTTTAGTTTTAATGCTAGCCTCCCTTTTCCCCATTTTCAAAAATGTAGTCAGCAATTTTGTATAATTGGCAACAAACTCATCTTGCTCAGGCCTAGGTTTACTTAGAATTGAAAAAAAAATCAAAATGAGCTTGCACAGCTAAAGGGAATGTTAAGATCCAAACAGTGTTTCATGCTACCCAGATCTGATTTTTTTTTTGCTGCGAAAGAAAAGACGAAGGTCTCAATAAGAGTTTTCTTTAAATTACTTTGTGGAGAAACTCACTCTCAGAAGAATTATTGAGTTTTATCTTGCATTGAAATCAAGTTAGACAGGTTTAAGTTCAGAGTCACAGAACGGTAACAAAACCAGAGTTCTGGCACTGACAATTTAACAGGCACAAACCAAGCATGCAAGACTGAGGGATGAGACACTTAGTACTGTGCAGCATTACTCTAAGTAGTACAATATTGGGAGTTTTACCAATATAGATGAATATGTAAAATATTCTACAAAACAGACCTGTCTGCTGCAGAAAATGCAGTTATACAGAAGTACAGAGCAACCAATAATGAGATTTTGCAAAAGAAACCAAGGTCCCTTTTCAACCCAAAAAGCTTGTGTTTTTTCCCCATAACTCTGCCAATTTGGATTCACCCTGGCACTTGATTACAAAAATAATTTGTCCAAGTTTGTCACTTCAGACCATGCATGGATTCCTTCCAAATCTGCATTTTTCAGTGTGAGCCCTGCAGTGTCTATAGGAGATAATTACAAGAATGATGCAGCTCTCAAAAGATCCCTGGTAGAATAAAGCCCACCCAAACCCAGCTGCACTCATTCAACTGCAGACTGGTGTTTGGCTCATCTTGGTCACAATAATGCAGCAATTACCAGTACTGCCTCCTAGATGAGCAGGAATCCACCTGCATACCAAACACGCTAAAGTAGTGGTTGAGCCACCCAGGTGCCCACCTTGTACACAGCTGTAAAAGTGTCATTTTGCAAAGAAAATCTCTTCCTCCACTTTCTATGAGCTTTAGACCTCAGGTTGTCAAGAACACATGGGCACTGCAACATTGTGCTATACTGTAATGTATATTGTACTGTAACACTCCAAGTTCCCACCCAGCCCAGCTAACTTACCATGGACATAAGCTGCTGGATGACGAGAGGACCATACTGTCCAACGTACTGCTTACACTGAAACAGATATACACAAGCTTATCAAACATGGTGAAAACACACAACGGCAACAGCTGCTTAGCGGGATAATAGACTGAAATACAATTAAACTATCAAGATAATTTCAAATGAAAAAAAAAGACAGGCAGAAGAGGTCATTGCCAAATTGCATACATTGTTAGTGCTAAAATGAGAAAAACTCCCACCTTCCACTAAACACTTAACACTGCAGTGAGGGATGAAGACAACATCACCAGTCATCCCCATGACGCCTCCATCCCTCTCTCTACTCATTTCATCCTCTCACCATGTCAGAAATGCCTGGCCCCAGGAGGTCACACTGAGTCTCGATCTGGCTGATGAGGGCACTGACAAAAGAGGTGTTGGACTTGGCTTGGTCCTGGGCATCCTTTATGAATGTCACACAGTCCTTGCAAACATCACCATTTTCCTGAAGGGGGGGAATAAAGGCAAGAACATCTCAAACTAAAATAAAACTACAATCGTGCCCTCCTTGCACTCACATGGAATTCTAAAGTCATTTTCTCTGTGTTCTGCAGCTTTGGATTAACTATCAGAATCAACTACTACTTATTTACACTGCAAGCTCCACAACAGATGGAGCATCAACCAGAGGAAGGAAGTAGCTCTGGCAGCAAAGGGTCCTCAAAAGGTGCCAAGCAAGTCATAGGGCCGATATTCCACATGAACACTGTGGACCACATTTGAAAACTGTGATCTTTGGGGGAACAACAATTACCAGCATTTATCAACACAGAAAACATTCAACCAAATTTGCCGTTCTCCCTCCAAGTATTTTGGAGGGTAAGAAGAAGGTTAGATTGTAACAATCCCTGTCTACACAAGATGTTTGCCAAGAAGTAAGAAAACCTTAGGTCTCTTAAACCCGTTACAAACCTGTTCAACTATCTGAAGTTAACAGCAGGATTAAGACATGCAATAGAACAGAACAGAAGCATCTAGGATTCCTTCTCCGATTATGCCAACCTATTCTCCTAGCAGACCTCACCGGCTTGGGAGTCTCCTTGGGGGTCGACTGAGGGTACAGCAGCTGGGGCACATTAGCGATGAATGGGGACAATCGCTGAGCAAGGTCAACTTGAGGGATCTCATTGGAAAGGATCTGAGCCTCAGCCATCTCCTTCTGCAGTGACCTGCACAGCCCCATGGCACAGCACACCGCGTTGGGGTCCTCCTGTAATGAATGTAAGACACCTACCCATTACATCGGTTAACTCGGTCATGTCAGACAATGCTCGTTTAATTATATTAAAAATAGTAAATATTTGTCTATCTATAAGAAGTTAAGCAACACTAAGCACCTACACTTCTGTCACTTTTTAAAACTAAAATATGGTAATCCAATTCAGAAATGTGTCCTTTACAATGTGTAAAACTCACAATTTATATTGTCCTGGTTTTGCTCTTCTGAACATTCTCAAAGTATTCACTCAAACAGGCATAAATTAAACGTTTTCACCAACACAGGAATCACTCATTGAAATAAGACAAGCCACTGTTTCCTCTAGATACAAGCATAAAAGCACTACCTAAACATTAGAAGACAAGTTAAAATTACAGCGGATGAAGTGACTTATTCAGGTGATTTAAGCCTTTAAATTTTACAATATCAACTCATCCATCCTATTTATCACTATGTACAAGTGTGCACACTGCTGTAATATTCCTATCAGGAAGCATCGTATACAAATACTAACTAGTATTGTGAAGAAAAGCTGAGGAAAACATGCATCTTATTTTAAAATTTTGCGACCTCAATTCATTTTTGCAATATCTCAGGGTAAAACAATCCCAGAGAGATGTTACAGGAAAATAACATCTTGCACAAATTCTTTCAAACCTAGAACAATTGTGGCAGTGTGTTACTCTCCCACAGTTCTTCAAACATGCAAAAATGGTGGAGCATTCAGGATTGAAGTACATTTGTTTACTCGTATAAAGTTTCACGTCTTACTCTGAGCATGCCTTTAGGAATTAGCCCCAGGTCTCTTAAACGGAATGCGAGTTGGTCACCAGCTTATCTGAACCCAAAGCCCACCCTAGAGCACGGTGTCCCGCCCCCCATTACCAGCTCGCCCGTGAGGATGCCCATCAGGACGGGGTAATAGTTGTCCACCATCTCCTTGCACTCCGAGGACAAGCCAGCATCTGGGATCAGCTGGCATGCCTTCTCCAGATAACCCAGGATTTCAGCCTGGGAAGACACAGACTTCAAATGAATGAGGACTTGGGGTTGCAATTTTAAGGTTTGCCAGAGGTTGCAAAAACAAAACAGAAACATTCCATGAAGTAATGGATTTAACTAATTTCCAATTCCAGAAATTTCTGATTTTCGTTTAAGTACAGATTAAACCCATGACAAGAGCTGAAAAACAAAGGGCTATATGAAGATCTTGCTAACACTGCAATCTGGGGCGAAGATAATTAAATTGAAGACAAGCTGCGTTTCCTTCTTCTGTAACGTTTTGAGCATGTTACATGAGATTTTAAGATAATTACCATTTCTAGAATTTCCACAAATCACTGGATCTCATACGCTACCACTTTCATTTCCCCTAGGAGTACAGGTATCCAAACTAGTTTGTACCCACACAAAAGCACAGAATAAGATTTGATTGTTTTATTTGTTAAAGCAAACTTTTACACATTCCTCTTGATAAACATCAGTTCGGTGACAACCTTAACGTGATTTAAGGGTTTAGAAGGTTTTCTGTACACAGGGAAAATGTTTTGCAGCATCCTGCTTACAAGATGCATTACCATCTTTCCTTGTTTCACTCATTGTTGCGATCTTTACTTTCAGTATACAAGATTACCACTTTACCAGTTTTATTCACATACTGCAACAGTAAAGACGCAGTCGCCATTTTTCTCCGATTTATTGCAGTTCTTAACACTTCCATATTATTTAAAATAAAGTTAGGTTTGATTAATGTGCCTCTAATCTGGGTGAAAACAGCTTTTTATGATACTGCCAATAACTGCAAAACTCTGCAGAGAGCTTAAGCCTTCCACCTTCATATCACAGGGATTATATTTTCAGATTTTCTGCCGGACACTTGTATTGGTTAGCACTGCCACATGCCGTTATCCGATGCATATTTTATTGATTTTTCTTTTTGCAGAAAAAGTAACCACACAGGCTAAATCATTAAAAATTAAGATTTGTCATCAACTGACAGATTGAACACCACCAAGTTAAGTGTGGACTTGAATGTACGAGTTACAATGCCAGTAAAACAATACAGGCATTGTCCCCTGTGAACGCTACCTCAGTGGCGTTGTCCTTCAACAGGCTGCCCACCACCGTGAGGACTTCCTTGCACAAGTCGCATGGCACAGTTTTCTGAACAAAAGAAAAAAAACACCAGGTTTAAATTCTCTTGGAGGGACTGAAAGAACTTTGGCAATATTCATAAGGCTTATACTTCAGCTACAATCACTTAAAAACATTTATAGCATTTCAATAAGTGCTACAAGGGTAGTGCACTCTGAAAATGTGAATCACTCAAAACATGTATTAGGCTAGAGCAGTGGTTATCAACCTTCACATCACACAATGTGCCAAATCAATCCTTAATTGTTTAATTAACTTAAGGAGTTTGCAGGAGCCATGCTTGACTACCCTGGGCTAGAGTGCACTGTAAACTCACAGCAGTGGGTTTGTTCCAGACGTTCTGCTGGCAGTGGGTCACAGCGCCACAGGTAGAGGCCGTCTTGACATTTTGGCACCAGTAGGGGGGGCCCTTGGCACACTGCTCCTTCCCCAACAGAGGGGAAGCTGCAGCTAGAGGAGCAAAAATGCACATGTTAAAAATAAAATGCAGAAAAGGGTTAAACAGGTCAACTAGACCTTTCCTGTGTAAAGATAATAGGTGGACTTATGCTGATTAAAGGAAAAGATTCATTGTTCACTTCCTGGAGGTTACACAAGAAGCAGGAACCAAAAGCAAGCCACTGAAACCTGCAACAAACAAGTCCTGATCTCAAAATTGCCTTAGGGTCAAGCACATGACTCTCCAGTCACCCCAGACCAAAAAAACCCCAAGGATTGCAAAACTGCAAACAGCATTCTAGAACCTACAATTATTAGGCAAAAACAACAAAGGTCAAGATTTCATAAGTCACTGCTTAACAATGAGGAAATAATGGCTTGAAGAACCTTCACCCAGATCACCTCCCTTCAACTAAAGAATCTCATTTTGCCCTCTTCAAATCACAGCAATACCTTTTCACTTATGGCAACAATGAAAACAACCAGATTTCCTCCAATTCAATTTCAGATTTTTAATACTCAAAGGCTGGACACGCCTTACAAACAGCTATTAATAAAGTCACCTGTTGAACACAACTTATTTACCATTAATCAGGATTTCAGGAATAATTGTGCCTTTCATACCCAGCTGTTCTCTTGTGGTAATTAGTTGATTCATAGCTGGTGTGCTATTGGGAAACCCATGGGCTCATAATTTAAGCCCATTGTGCATTCATTTGTCACGGGAACATGTGATGAGCATAAGAAAAGGTGCCAAAATCAAAAGCTCTTCCCAGATTATCAACTCAATTAAAAAGTAACATTTGGAAATATTTAAACGTAATAATTCTAAACCTAAATCCAATTCAAAGCTATAAAATTTAATATGAACATTTCAAAGATCTGGAAAATGTCATTAACTTCAGAAAATGAAAGCTTAATAACCATGGAAAAGAAAATACAAATTTAGCTACCAGGACCTCTGTGCTAGATGGCTCAAGCATTACACTGCCCTTGAGCTCTGCCACCCCTAGTTTTAAAAAGCAGTGAGGCAGCAGGAAGAGAAGATCAGCAGACCCCGTGCTCTGACGCAGGGAAATTCTCAGCTCATCTATCCCCTGTTAAGGTGGAGAAGTCAGGACTGGCCAAGTGTGTAAAGTAGTAAAGGAAGGCAGGAAGCCTTCACTGGTTTCAATATACTTTGTAACAAATAGTAAAAAGATGACTTAAGTTATTTTTTTTTATACACGACAGCAAATAAATTCCCCATTTTTCCCCCACTTTACTAAGTCACCTTAAGCACATTTATTCACACTGTGCATCATGAGACTTGACCAGGAAACAAAAGGCTGATGATGTCATCTTAAATCACAAGGGCCCAGTCTTTCACAGACTTCCAGTGATTCATGCACAACACACTTGAGTCCTCAGGAACAGTGAGCCAGGAGTCTCGCAGCACACAGACGCTGTTCTCTTGAGCAGGGCAGGGTCAGGAACCGAGTGGCTCAACCCTGGAGCATGCATGTTGTCCATGTTTGATTTGTTTTTTCTCCCATTGCCTCCCACCCTCAGACATTCAAATTAGGTTTAAATGGTAGCTCAAATATATTAAAATCGGGGAAAGGGTGAACAAATGAATTCAATAGGCCTTCATGATGAACCTTTTTTACATACTGAACCAACCCAAACGAAAATGCCCAACAGACATACTGGAATATGGGAACAGAAAGTGAACAGCCAAAAACAGACATCTTCTGAAGAATAAGGAAGTGTTTTGAGGAACAGACTTTCTGAAACAAGGTATTCTGGAATTTCTAGCATTTGACGTCATCTTTCAGTACAAAGAATATGAAGGTTTTTCTATGTAAAAAAAGTCACACCATAAAGGAGGAAACGAGCTGTATTACAAGCTAAAGGTCTAATCCAATGCTAGAGGTCTGTTTTAAATGGGTAATCTCACCAGCTCTGTGAAGAGTTACTGCCAAGACAAGATGGGGAAAAAAAAGACAGAGTGATGACTCAAATTAAGCTAAATTACCAAACCAATTAACCCCTTTTCCTCATGAAAAAGAATGAGGCTTTCAAGCACAGCCAAATTATCCATACATACAGAGATACCCACTCTAGGGAAGCAGCAGTTTGCAAAAGCTCTCTGAAGGCAATCAAGGTGCAGAGCAGAGAACACATTACACACTGATGGAGGCATAAACATGTCTCTAAGATTTAATAGGATTTTATTAATTACCTGTTAGCAACTAGTTTCATTGTTTAGTCTTCTACCATGCAGGCACTACAGGCTTGAACACAGCAGCTCCGAGTTCATATTAGAAGCCCCTTCCAAGCCAACTTATCCCAGCATCAAGGAGAAAAAAAGCATCAGATATGCCACTGTAGACAGAACATTTCATCTCTAAATGGTATCTTTCTTCAGAAAGGGTCAAAAAACATTAAGGATGGTGCACTGTCTTGCGTTGAGCTGAATATAAGGAACAGGTATGCACAGAGAAAAGAAGTGAAAGAACAAGATTAAAAGTGTTTCACTGAGTATACTACTGAAATTCAGAATATAAATGTACAAGCAGGAGAGGCAGCATCGGCATGTTTCTCCATAATCCACCCAACATACCCGGGCACAGTTCCACTCAGCCAATGTCACTCAGTACCTTCTGTAGTACATAAGGTATCAATGTATAGATTAAAAAAACACTAGCATTGCATTAGGCTAAAATATTCAGAGTACCACTATTCATGCCTGGCACTTTGAGGAGCGCGTTAGGTCTTATGCTATATACCAGGCCATATAAAGAACTAACCACTCTAACACCCATCTCGATTGAAAAAAGACCATCCACATCAGAGTGGAGTTTGTGATGCAGCACACAGAAGGTGGAAAACAAGGGTGAGAGATGCTGGATATATATTAAAAAAAAAACTTCCACATTAATTAACTCAGAAAAATTAAAAAAAAAACTTGCAGCACATCAGCTTCCTCAAAGATCACTCGGTGAGGAAATGAAAGCTACAGCAAAAATATGCCCCTATAATATATCACACATACCATTTTCAAATAGCATTATCTCCAAACAGCACCTTTGAGGGCTGTAGTCACACTTCTGTTCTAGGCTCCTCTCAGGGCATGCTAGGTTGCACAGAAAAACATGCAAGAGTACAAGTGACAAACTATAAATAAACTGAAATCTGCATTCAACCTGAAATAACCCATCAATTAAAAATACTGTTAAAAAGTTTCACATTATGTGCTCTCACCCACTTCAAGCTGTTATTACTGACTATGTAAAAATCAAATCATTTGGAGAAAGGGCTTGGCTAACAAGATCAGATATGAAGCTGCTGTGAAAAGTGGAAAAAGAGCAAAAGAAGCGTTTGCGTAATAAACCAAAAAAAGCAGTAAGGCAGCAGGAGAGGCTGATTATACATCATAAGGAATATCACATTCCCAAGTCAGCATCTCATTCTGCAGAACACAGATACACAAAGTTCAGGGTCCACTGTATAAAGAATGTTTTGTTTTCCGATAACATTTTTGCTAGCAAGCAAAATGTCAGATACAACCTTGTCTTTTGGTGCATATGCCCACCACCAAACACAAAAATAGCCGTTTGTCTCAATGCAACATCAGCACTTACTGTGCACATTTTAAACTGCTTTAAGAAGTAAATTTTAAAAGAGATCCACATTTGTGGGTTTAGCAAAAAATTAGGATACCAGTATGTCAGGCTCTGGTAATTCCCATCTTCACAGAAATAAAACAAGCCTATGTCCAGGATCAACAACTTTAAAAAACACATATTGGTACAGTTTTCTCCATGACAAACAGGAATGTGCTCAACACCCCAGATGATCACTTTTATTGTCCATATACAATTTCTATTATAGTATTAGGAATTTGTCTTTTTTGCATACCCCCACGATACTGTATGTCGGCAATAATTGATATTTGGGAAGCCAATAAAGTATTTCTGCCCTAAGACAAGATCATTTTATTAGCCCTAATCTATTTCTTGCATTAGGAATTTCTTTTCACATACCCCAGCTTGCTCTCCATGAGACACACAGACAGGGAGAGAAACTTAGGGTCAGAGCGCAGGGTCAGCCATTTATACAGCACCCTTGGAGCAGTTGGGGTTAAGGGCCTTGCTCAGGGGCCCAACAGAGTAGGATTCCTCTGCCAGTCACGGGACCAGCAAACCTTCCAGCCACTGGCGCAGATCCTTAGCCACAGAGCCACTGCACCGGTGTGCGTGGAAAATTAGTGCAGTTATGAATTTGTACACATTAGAAGAATGTAGGGGGTGCATTTGATACCATTACTACTCCTTTTAAGCCACCTGGGGCGGAGCAGTGGTCCCAGCGGATCCAGGGGTGCCATATTATTGGCTGACCCTGCGCTCTGACCCCAAGTTTCTCTCCATCTGTCTGTGTGTCTCATGGGGAGCAAGCTGGGGTATGTGAAAAGAAATCCCTAATGCAAGAAATTGTATAGGGCTAATAAAGTGATCTTGTCTTAAGGCAGAAATACAGTGTTGCTGGCTTCCAGAATATCAAGTATTCCCGATACACAGTAGGCCCCCCCCCTCTCATACCTGGATCAGATACAGCATTGCAGATACTTTTCCCTACTCCAGATCTCATCAACATTGCCCCAGTATTGGACCAGCTGCAGCTGACCGCCATCTATAGTTCCTATTAAAATAACAGCAGCAGCAGAGGGATACAGTGAACTGGAGCTTCACACCGATTGTGGTCCAAGCCAGCCTGCTAACAATGCCAGAGTGTTAAACACAAAGGAAAAGTGGGGGGTGTCAATGAACCTGTCATGGCAGTGGGCAATCTGCAAGGCTCTTCCCATGACACCAGCTTAAAGAGTACACAAAGAGGTGGGATAACAAAAAAAAAAAGCACCTTGAATTGAAATTAACAATACAACAGTGGTTAACAGGAGAGGGATGAAACAGTTTCCACTTCTGCCATTTTTCCCCAGGAACTTCTGACCAAGGACAATGAAACACCCAGATCAACAGGACAGGTCACCACCATTTGAGGAAGGCTTGGTTCCTCTTCACAGTTTCGGTCACAGCAGCCCTCAAGTTTTAGATTTAGCCGAGATTAACAAAAATATTATCAAAGATTCAGAACGTAAAGGAATCACAGATTACTACCAAGAATTACATTTTTTAAATCTTAAACCTATATCTGTTCAAATTATAATTAAGAATCGTCTCCTTTGGTTTAGAGTAACCAATTCTACTGCACAAAAATTAATGTTGCCTTGCCCCAAGTTTTATTTTTCTTACTACATAACCAGCTACATCTCCAGCTACCTGTCAGGCCCAGCGTGTTGAATTCTCAACATTCCGCCTTTGCATAACCTAATTTTCCCGACTGCAGATCGCCTTGCATAAAGGCAACGGCTAAATACATCATGCAGCCGAAGCATAAAGCAGAAACGTGTCCTTTCCCGTCAGAGACCCATGGCAATTGTTTCAATCAAGCGTTTATCACGCTTGGCAGGTATACAGAAGGGCTGCTTTTCACTGTCGAATACACTGAGGAGATGCTATTATTTTGGTGCATTTTTTTAAAGCGAAATCTCAGTTTCTTCACATAGAACTCACTTCTTACCATGAAGCAGTCAAAAGTATAGACACTGGGAGAAAACACCAGATTCAGACCCGTCCTCGTCTCATAAGGAAACACTAGACAATGTTATGAAAAACACTAGCGACTTCGCAAGCCCCCGGGTCAGCGACCATGTCCAGCTGCAACATTAGATAACGCAACTGACCGGCTGGGTCGAGCATATCTGTCTCTCCTAATCTCATTCCAGGTAAATGAGGCCATGAAATCATACTCCACAGGAGATAAATTCTATCGCATCGAGGATTGCTGTTACAAAACATGTTAGCACAGAAGACGCAATAACTGACAGCTCAAACACAAAAGCGCATAAACTTTGTTTTTTTTTTACAAAATGCGCAGCAGATCCTTACTATGTCGCAACGCAAAGGGGTCATCGTCTAGTTTTGGGAAAGTAGTCATTCTAAAAGCTGAGCAGTGGATTATTTAGAGCTAGTCGGTCAACAGCGTTATCCAATAGTAATGGGTATTTTGCCAATATAACAATTGGCAATACTGCAGTCGAACTAAGAGGTGAACTCACTGAAGGTCGTGATGCTTTTCCAATCCTAAAATTCACCAACAGCAGTGTGGTCTGCTGATAGCGAATAAAGTCCTTGTTTGTGAAATGCACGCTTCGTACACTTAGTCACGTTACACTCACGCGTAAAAGAAATGAGTATAACTGGGTGCGGCGTCACTTCGGTCAGTTTGAATTCGTTTCAAACACGCATGGATGAATCACATACAGTACATATACTGTATAAATGTATATGCCGGTTAACTGCGCTGTATTGAAAAGAGGAAAGTCTTCAAAACCCAAACCGCCTGATTTGACTAAAACAGAAAATAGCAACGGGGGATTTCAACTATCGCGACTGAAATCGGAAAATCCCCCATATGCATTCGAGTTTCTTTTACTTTCTAACAACGTTTAGTTGAACTTTAACGAGAAACAAAGCAATTCAATACCACAAACACTGGTCCAAATAGCTACGCCTTAGTCGTAGAACTCTGCTAAAAATGAATTTGTTAGAAGTACAGCCCATTGAGACACAATATAGCACATTTAAATTGTTATTGTTAACCACAATTCTGAAAAATACAAGATTTAACCGAAAGCAGATTACCGCTTAGTAGCAGTGACGGAAAGTATTGCTACTAAATACTATATTACAGTACAATGTTTTTCTGGGAATTATTGCGTCGGATTAAACAATTAGGTGCTTAAACGGTGACGTATCGAATGTTACACAGGCTTACAAAAAAATGTATCCAACCCAAAGCAGAGACACACAGAATAACAATAATATAAAATAAACACCTTTCCAAGATAAATGACACTGCAGTATTCGGCACCACTAATGTAAAAACAATGGCTATTTACCGATAAAGCCTTCCGCCTAGCGATGTAAACAGCGGTATCGTCTCAATACGAAGCAAAACAAGTATCATGCAACTCCAAAATAAAACCATAAAACTCCGAAACATATATTATGGCAAAGGGGTTACATAATCAAAATATTACCTGTGGAAATTAAAAGAAACGTCAAAACAATCATGTCCTCTCCGTTACGTGACCGGCTACTCTCTTTCACAACAACTTCGACTACTGCAATGCGCAGTCCCGACGCCAGAACTGGTTTTAAAGGAGGCACGTGACTCGGAAGTGACGTTTGCAGGCTCAGACAATCGATAGACTTCTAGAAATGGCAAAAAAAATTCTCAACAATCGTGAAAATCTTACAAAACCAAACTCTTTTTACCTACATCGCCCCCTTCTGTAAGGGAAGATCACTAGATTTTTAATAGCCAAAAAGTCTACGTCTAACGTACTGGAGTTTTTTTTGTAGAGCGCATTTGTAGAGATGGTTACTATTTGTTGATTGAAGATAGTTGTAATTAGTACAAACATTACTATTGTCGTTATCTTCATAATCACTATTATTATAAGATGCATTAAAATGTCAATTATATTTTTATTATTAGTAAAAGTAACAATTAAAAGTAAAAACTGTCCTTTATATTTGGGTAGAAAGTGGAAGGTTTTCGGCACCATTGGGTTAATGTTGCACAAAAAAACAATTCCATCACCTGAAAAACAGACATGTGAACTTCACTGCCAGTGAAACCAAGCAAAGTACAGTAGTTACATGAAGCCAGGCTTTGTTTTACAATACAGAATATTTACAGCCTTCTCTGACCATGCTTGATTGAATTTCTGCTTACCCTTTTCTAAATCTCTGGTACTGTTCCCATTCATCTCACCAACACTACTTGGCTAGAGCCACAAATTCAGAGAATTGTCCCACTATAGAAGAAAACTCACAGATCCATGGGGAAATCAATAACTGTTTTGCTTTATATAATGGTCAAAACAGAAGAGAAAAGGGAAGCCAAGGCACTAGTAAGAAACTAAAAGAGACAGGACTTCCCATTACAATGCATTTCTTTGCAAATAGCTATACTGTAAGTATAACCAAAAATAAGGGCATTGTGAACATAGTTTTTCACACAGTAACCTCTTTAGGCAAGTGTTTCACCATGACAGCAACACATTGCCTAGCAGAAATCCGCATCAAGACTTAACTTTTTCTTTTGTCCCCAAGTTTAGTTCCGGAGACACATCTCTTCCTGTCTGCCCATTATTCTAAATCCAACCACATACTTCCTAAACTTAGTGCATCTCCAGGATGGAGACATATCAAGCTGGCTGGTCTGACTACAGTTAAAAAGTTGTTCACCATTCCCTCTCTTGGCATCACTTGATCCTGTCTTTGATTTTGTTCAGATGGAGAGCTGGACCAACATGTGGGCTGCTAAGAACAAGTAGAGGTCAATTCCACGCTGAAAAGTAGAAAGAAAAAAATTGGCTACTGAGCCCTTTTCAATGTTTTCTTGGTTGTTTTTTTTTATTTTGGTTATTAAGATGACAGCTGAAGATGGCTTAGCAGCCATAATGTCATGTTCCTTCAACACTCCAGCATGGAATTACCCTTGGCATTATTTGTATGGACATTGTATATTATTTATATGGCGTTATTCCAAGGGACAGAGAACTGCTGATGATGCAGTCAAACCTCTGTTACATCAGCAGCAGTTCTCCAAGCTTTCCCTGTCCCTTGCTGCTCTGTCCCTAGTAGCTGCTTGATTATATTACAGGGGTCCTTAGGTAGAAATATAGAGGGGGAGCAGCACTGAGCAGGAGGGGATAGGTGGAGAAACTGTTGTGTGTTTCTTGTTGCATCTTGTTTGAAAAATCAATTAACTAATCACAAAGACCTTCATTTTTATACTTTCCCCTGCTAAAAGGGAAATTTAAAAAACTGCAAGGTCTAATACTGTCCTCCAAGACACAGACCCATCTTGCAATGCAACAGAAAGTAAACTTAAGTAACTGAGGCAAAAAGAAGGAACAAAGTAACACTCAAGGAGAAGAAGAAGAAGAATAAGAAGAAGAAGAAGAAGAAGAAGATGTTATTTAATACAGAAATTTTTAAAATGACTTTCTCAAAATGCTTTACAGGAAAATAAAAAAAGTTAAAAGAAAACAGTAACAAAGATAGGAGATATGTCACCATGTCACCTATAGTATTACAGTAGATACGTTTTGAGGACAAACAGAAGGTATTGAAGTGCCAAGTTATTAAGAGCCTTACAGGTGAGCATGACAATTTTGAAGCCAACACAAAACCTGAAAGGAAACCAGCACAAGGATTCCAGGACAGGAGTAATCTAATCACTTGAATGCAACATGGTCAGGATTCTGGTTACCCAGTTTTGGAAACATTGAAGTTTGTTCAGTGCGTAGGGGATTGAGTAATCAATTCTAGAAAAGGGAAACACGTTGACCAGCTTTTCTGCTACAGAGACAACATAGGACAATTGTCTGGCAATATTTCTGAGATGAAGAATGATGTTTTTACAATATTTTGCACACGTGGGTCAGACATCAAGCCTGGATCACATATCACCTCCAAGGTCTTCAATTTAGATTGAAATTCAAGCACAGTGCCATCCACAGATAGGGTTACTGCATTGGCTTTAGACAGTTGATGGTAGATGCCTAAAGTATGACTTCCGTCTTGTAGCAGTTTAAATGAAGGAAATTTAGAGTCATCCAGGATTTTATGTCAGAACTACAATTAGAAAGTGCAGAAAAAGCCAGTGTTTCACTGTCATGTTTGGTACAGATGTAGATTTGAGTACCATAGGCATGATAATTCAGACCATGTGATTTTAATGACTGGCCACATAGGAACATGCAAATACGGAATAGTAGGGGGACTAGTATCAAGTCCTGAGGAACATTAACCCAACATCAGAACTGAAACCCCTAAGAGAGACGAAATGTCAGCAATTATTTAGAGTTGAACCGTTTAAGAACAATGTCAGAAAAACCAAACAGTCTCAAATCCGGAAAGTAAGATGTTGCGAAAAAAGGCAGAACTAAAACCTAGGAGAATAAGCACAGCAAAACCAGAATCGGTAAGAAACAGTTGCACATAAAGACCAACGCACATGACACACCACACACACACAGCCATAAAATCGTTAGTAATGTGCTGTGTGACTGTCTGAAACGATTTCAAAGAGGTTGTTTGAAATTAAATGGTTGTTTAATTAAATTTCAAAAGCAAATCCTATTTTTTTTTACAAGATAAGGTAGGTTGGAAACAGGGCAAAAAGTCCTTAGACAGTCCAGGGCCTTATTTATTTTCTGCACAGGGATAACTGCAGCCATTTTAAAGGCCTTTGGTACCACTCCAGCGCTTATGGACTCATTTATGTTGAACGCAATAGGATTGAAATAAAAAAGTATGAATGGAAGCTCATAAAAAGGTGATGGATTTCATACAAACTGTAGGGTTCATGTAAGGTATTTACATAATCCTGAATAACAATATACCTATTATTCAATGTTTTTGTTTTACTGCAAATCAAGCTTGTATTTTAAAAAGAATCTATCATATTAAAGATGACCACCTTCCAAAGATTAGATCTCAAGGGATCCGAAGCCAGAGAAAAAATATTTTCTTCAACAATCCACTAATGATGCAGCAGGCACAAACAAGAGATTATAAACCATGTAATGGTTCTGCTTCTGAAAGTTGTGTTCACTCTGAAGTGCTTTGCACAGTTTATCTGACAGTCTTACTGTAAAGCAGGATTGCTTAACTCAATTCTTAGAGGGCTGCAGCACCTCCATGGTTTCATTCAATCCAAGCTCCATTTCATTTAGCATGCCTAATTATTTTGGTCACTGCCACCCTCCTTGGAAAGAAAAAAATATGCAGCTTTCCCCAAGTGTTGTTAATTAAATGTGTTTTACATTTGATTATGATGTCAAATGGATCAATAGGGTTAATAAGCCTGAAACTGGAATAAAAACTGAAGTTCCTTCAGCAGTATAGGAACTGACACCCACACTGCTGGCATTCCTACACCATTCATTGATAGTTTTTCTTTCACTTCCAGAATACATGAAGAAATTTACACTGTCCCTTAATTGCACCATGGTTTCTTACTAATAGAAAGCATAACAACAATTAAGAAAATCATTTGTTTATTATGTAACGTATATACAATGCGTTCTGTAGATCTTGGTCGGTGCCGGCTGTACATCCCCATATATGGCTGGGCTGGAAAAGAAGAGAGAACGATTATGGAGCTGACCACACGTCGGTCTAATTCACTGATGAAAGCGACGCAGTTCTATCTTAATACTGGTATTCACACAAACTAAAATAAAGAAAAGATTTACACAGCTTCAGTGTCAAAGAAGCTACAGCAAAACAGGTGCACAAACACCGACGCACACACACCACACACATCCGTATCAACAATTACATTAACTGGCGCATCCTTGGGACACACGACTACACCCTTAACGACAGGCGAGCACAATTCATCAGCAAGTAAACCCACCGGCCAAACGCTTATCTCTTGTGGAGAGGCCTACTTTCGCCGAGGCCCGTTTCCAACCCGGCGCACGGTTCTACGTTTCGCTGCTCATCTTTCCGCACAACAGTGGGCCGCACCACGTCAACGTCCCGCTCCAGGTGATCTAGCAGCGAGGGGATCTCGCTCGGGGCGGCGTGGAAGTCCACCAGGAAGTACCCGCCACGCGTGTGTCTCATGTTGTGCTTGGAGATCTTGTACGGTAGCGTCCTCTCGCCCAGACTCTGCAGCTCCCGCACCACAGCTCCTCTCTCCAACAGCGTCTCTACCGTGCGCCGCAGAACTGCTTTAATCTCAGGCCTCTGCATGGCCTTCAATATCAAGGCCAGCTCGTACCTAGGCATTTTCAAGTATATATTATATCTATTTTTATAAAAACACGGATTTTATGATGAATCAATCCATATCCTCAGACCGCAAGGACACACACTCCCCACTAACGCTCTTTTAAATAGGGGAGTCCCCCATACGTCTTCCCGTGACGCGTTTCCTTTGCGACACAGTTACTGCTCCCATGTGTCTACCCGCTGTGCTCTTGATTCTTCCTTTTTACACGAGTGGAGCCAAAAGATGGCGGAGCAGTCGTCGGTGCCCAGCGATCTTTACAAGCATGTTTACTCTTTTCTCCTGGAGAATAAATTCTCCAAGGCAGCTCAGGAGTTCCTGAAGAAGACGAAAGTGGTGAGTGACTATTGCGAGAAAGGGTTTTGCTTTAGAAGGAGCAGATTTAGTGTGCACAGGGCTTATGACTTAGTAAAGCTTTAGGATGTCGAGTCTTGGCTTGTTCCAACTCCAGTACACGTGTGTGAGAGGTTTGGGGGATCACAGTGGGGTATTCATTTATATAAGTATGTTTTTCTTGTAACGACTATGTGTTTATTAGTTTCCTGTATTTTATATTTTAATGAAAGCACCATTGGATGTAATTATGGCACCAATAAAATGATTTAAAATAATTCTCCAGGGAAAGGTTTTATTAATTAAATAATAGATTCTAAAGTGTTAAAAAAAACTATGATTCCGTTACTTCACTTGTTGTTTATGCTGTTCAAATACAACACACTTACCGGTACCTGTGCTTAAAAAGAAACCTGAATATTTTTACAGTTTTCTTATATATTATTTGGCTATTTTTTACTTTCACAGAAACCTCAGGACCCTCAAGAAGCTGGTCTGTTGGACATTTTTAACTTTTGGGTGAAGTGAGTATACGCTCTCTCGTGTGTTGTGCTCGGTTGTTACTGAAGAGACTCGGAGCGCCCAGTTTTCCCTTGGGCGTGAATTAGGTGGCGAGTTTGGCCACGGGAAAGTGGGAACCAAAGTTTCCGGAGTTTAGAAGGATGCTGTGCGGAAGACGATGAGAGTGCAACCTGTTAGAATGTAGGAAGTTTGAATAGATCACATCCTGTGTATATGTATTTTGTACTGTCACAAAGTGCAGTTTCGGTGCAGCTAATTGGAACTGCTAACAAATTTATAAAGCACTGTGATAAAAGATTTGCCAACTTCTGTCCCCGTCTGTAGTGGTGAAGCATGATGATGTCAGTTTTTAGCCCTAAGTAATATTATAGCTTTTGACAAGATTAAAGTGTTGTTCAGTCCTTTTTTATGAGGTGCTTCCGCAGCTCAGAATTGAGTTTTTTTGTGATCAATGATGCACAAAAAAAAACAAGATGAAGGGTTGCACCATGATGCAACTTGTTTCCTTAGGTCTCCAGAGACCAAAAAGAGGAAATTGGCACCCAATGGCCCAGCTGCCAAGAAGGCAAAGGAGGCAGAGAGCTCAAGCAGTGAGGACTCATCCAGTGAAGAGGAGGCAGATGCTACCAAGAAGACGCCTGCAGGTACAGCCAGTGGCTGCCCGGGGTTTTTGTACTGGGTTGCCTTTGAACATGTGTGTAGTCTATAAGAGCCTCATTGCAGAGCTTCATCTTTTTATGGCCGTTGCAGTGATGAAGATCAATAGAAAAACGTAATCTTCTTCAGAAAATGTCACGATCTGGAGACCTCTGTCACTCGCCTTTGACTTTTTTAAGAGCCTACATTCTATAAAGCCTGAAATGGGTCAGACTTCTGTACAGTGAGGGTCTTATTCCCCTGTGTGCGTGCTTCATTGAAATTTCTATTCATAAAAGCAACAAGCTCCAAAGACCACTGACCTTATTTCCTGGATTGATGTTATATTTAGGTAGATAGAACCTGTTCTAGATCCATAAGGTCTGTTTTTTTGGTGCGAGTGTTACTCTCTATAATGGCAGCTGTGGAATATAAGACGACATCTGTTAAAGAGAACACTGTTCTTTATTCTCTCTTCCCAGTGCCTAGAGCACAGTGAATGACACACCTGGCCATGTGTCTGCTTTTTATACGTCCTATGTCTCAGTATTTAATTAGTGCCCAGATTCTATGTCATGCAAAAACAGACAGGGCTCTGGGGCTATTTTTGCAAGGGAGAGAGGGGCCCCTGGAAAATAAAAATTGATCCAGTGCCCCGCACCTGGAGGCGGTGTGTGCTGAGCCCTGTCCACTGCGTTTCAGTGAAAAAGTCTCCAGCCGCAGTACCTGCAAAGAAACCGGCAGCAGCAAAGAAGGCAAAGTCCAGCAGCAGCGAAGACTCCAGCGACTCGGAGTCCGAGGAAGAGGAAAAGACAAAGAAGGCAACCCCAGCCAAGGTGAGCAGGTGCCATCAGTCTGCTCGAAAGAAACCGTAGTAGGTGAGCGGTTTGACTGTCAGCCTCTTTACATCTGTAACCTCTCACCTTACATATCCCATTCCTGCTGACAGCCCCCTGTGAAGACCCCCTCAAAGAGCCCCCAGGCCGCAGGCAGAAAGAAAGACACCAGCTCCAGCAGTGAGGAGTCGGACTCAGAAGAGGAAGGGGTCACCAAGCCCCCTGCAAAAGCTGGTACCCCCTACCTATCCCTTATTGCAGTGTTCTCCAGCTCCGGTGCTGGGGACTCATTATTGACGTCTTGTTTTCTCTAAAAAAATCATTGCAGACACAGGTCAGAGCTCTGAAGGAATAAACAGTGTCTTTCAGTTTCAGGCTCCCGATATGCTTTTGTTGAGACAACATGATTTTATTCTGATTGTCCAGCATGTAGTGTAAATGGGTTTCAGTGATGCTGGATGTTATGTAGCAGTGGAACTAGTGCCCAATCCAAAGGGTGTCTTGTATTATCTTTCTCATTAATGCTGAATAAACTGGGATAAAGTGGCTCAGTGAAGCATTAACAAACATCAGGAAAAAACTTAATCACAGAGTACTGGTGCAATATTTGTAATTTCCATCTTGGTTTGGTCCTGGAATGTGTCTTTTTAAATGTTAAGCAGTCTAATGACTAAGTGCTGATTTGGTGACATATCTGGATTGTTAGTGGTTGTCCAGGGCTGAAGATCCCCCCAAACCACTCTTAGAGCATACTGTAGATCTTCAGCTGCAGCATTGTAACATAGACTGACTTCTTTTATTGATTCTGTAGGAAACTGTTAAGATTAATGCTCACTGTCTCACCTTTATCATCTTCCAGTATCTTTTCAACAGACATGGCACTAACACCCTTCATTAAGACCTAACTACATTTGGAAGTGCAATTAATCATGTTGATTGCTATCAGTAATGCTGCTGCCTTTGCAGATGGAGAGTGAGGGCAGTGTGCGAGGACTGTCGGGAGTCCCAAGCAGACTGCTGGTCTGTAGTTAATGAGCAGGGGCAGCGTACTTGTCAAGCCCATGACTGATGCGGTTTTATTCCTATCTCTGAAGAGGTCAAGGTCGTCGCCTCCAGGAAGGGGCAGGAGAGCAGCGGCGACAGTTCCAGTGACTCCGAGGAGGAGAAACCAGCCAAGGTGAGTCTGGCTGCTGTTGTGGAGTCCTGATGCAGATTTCACACTGTACGTCTGTGCTCCTGTTCATGCTTTCATTAAAAGGAGCGATTGGTCATGGTGTGCGAAAGCCTGAAACCTCTCTTATTAAACATTAGGAGAAGCAGCTTTCTACTAAATAAAGCAATTTATGAATGGTTGTGTAAAAAATGTAACATAGACAGTGTTGCATGCCAGCTTGTGACCAGGCTACCAGTGGCATCTTTGACAAAAGATGTGGGCACTACATCCAGGAATTGGGTGATGGTTAAATGCAGGCTGCTGTTGGTTTATACAGCATTGCTGAGGGAGGTGGCCAGCATTGTTAGTTTGGTCTCAGGTTGGGTGTGGAAGGATTTCTTGCTTAGTTTTTGCCTTCAAGAGAAGTTGATGTTGGTTGATTTTGGGGTGAGGGGTCATGTATTCCTGTTGGCAATTACGCCTTGTTGGTCCTCCTGAGTATTTCATGAAAGGCAGAAGGGCTGTTCTTGTGTTGTAGGAACCAAACTTGGTAGCTCTTATGGTATTAGGGCAGCAGTATATCATTTAACGTGTCTGTGGACCGTGGTCATCAAATGTCAACAAGATGGCAAGATATTTCAAGTTGTAAGGGTAACATTGTGTATGTTTTTGTGTAAAGATACGTCATTTCATCGAAACTCCTCACACAGATGCACACAGACAGGGCGGATCTAGCTAGTACTATGGTGCGTTCAGTATGAAGAATTATGTGATGGTCTGCTTCTTGAACACCACTGTTATGATGGAGTGTTAAATGTTTCCCCTCACAGAAGCCCGCCAAGCCTCCTGCAAAGGCCCCAGCTGTAAAGACCACTGCCCCAGCCAAGCGGGGTGATGCCAAGTCCAGCAGCGAGGAGGACTCTTCCTCTGGGGATGAGAAGGGTGCTCCCCCAAGCAAGAAACCCAAACCTGGTAAGGTCTTCTTGCTGTGTACATATACCTTATTATATCGCAGAGCTTCACTGTGTTTGCTGATGTTGCATGCTTGTGAACCGGAGGCTGCTGAAGTTGTACGCTGTGACTTACTCGAACGCTGATTTTTATTTCTTTGTAATACCTTTGCATTTTTAAAGCCAACTTCCTTAAGCCCATATTCTTTTACATAATTCCACAGGTTTATAGAGTTGGTTTTAATAAATTTGTTCTTGTGGTTCTACAGTATACGGTAATCTTTGCAGAGGCATTAAAGATGGAAATGACAAATGTGGTTTCTCCTTTGTTTCTTTACAGCTCGTCAGTAATATTAACCTTGCCTGATAATATTAAATGCCTGATTTTATCAGTACGGAATGTCAATAGCTGAAACTGAAATTGCAGGCATTTGCTGAAGATTTAGCCATCTTGTCAAAACCAATGTCCAGCTATTGCTCGAAGAGAAACCAGGCTGAGATCCTTAGTTATTAGTAGCCACATGAATTAGATAGCTTCCTCTCATTGGTGGGTTTTGTTTTCCTAACAGGGCTATACAGTGCCGTCCCTCCCCCTTCCACCAAAGGGCAGAAGTCATCTGCTCCAGTAGGGGGTGCCAAGGCCCAGAGCAGTGACTCGTCAGACAGCAGTGAGGACAGTAGTGATGAGGAGGCGAAGATTAAGAAACCTGCAGGTCAGTGCTCCCTACAGCCCACTCCCTGTTAACATTGAGGCACTTTGATGGGCCTTGCTGTAGCGGACAGCAATGTCCGACAAACTCTCTGCAGACATAGTTGGATTGAGGTTAGTGTTATGGCTAATTCAAAGTAGCCAGGTTTTCTTTTATGTGTCTGACATCTGTCTGTCTGCCTATTGTAGTCAGTGCTGAGGTCTGCTCTGGCAGTGAGTTCACCAGCAGCATAGAAGAACGTCCTGTTATAGGTTTTCACCCTAAGTCTATCTGTATGCGTCTGAGTGTAAAGGGGAGTGTAAAAACATGTAAATTCAGCTACATAATGCAAAGGGTATGTTTTGTTTCTAATACCATAAGCTTAGTTGTCCAAAAGATCAGAGCCTTGTAATTGTGAAATTAGTGGGAGATTTCAAATGGATAATCTGCAGCACAATGAATTATCAGCCCGCACAGCACATTGTCCAACCTTCCCTGTTTGTTCACACATTTCTAACTTTTCTTTGTTTCTCCAGCTAAAACACCCCCTGTGAAGTCTGCATCCTCCACACCTAAAGCAGCAGCCAGCAAGAAGGCAGAGTCCAGCTCAGACAGCTCAGGTGAGCCTTAGAGTCTTCTCTCTGATTCTTGTTCCTACTGTATTCCCTCTTGAGCACTTTCTCCAGCGGGCACTCCTACTCTTTTTTTTTTTTTTGCTTGCTCTGTCAGATTCCAGCTCAGAAGAGGAGAAAGCTGCACAGAAGAAGCCTGTTGCTAAGGTGACGCCAGCAAAGCCTGCATCTGTAAAGACACCTCCAGCCAAGAAGGACTCCTCCTCTGACAGCTCAGGTGAGAAAGGGACAGAGCCTCTACCTTGGGGGTTAGATCAATAAGTGTTCGATTTCTATGGTAATGACTCAAGTTACTGAAGATTGTGATCTAAAGCTGGCATTAAATACTCTTTCTTTTCTTCCATCTTTATTCCACTAACTGTCAGCATACAATTTGTCATTTTTCTTTATTTCACCTAACTATGAACAAAATACTATAACAAAAAAGTTTATAATAACCTAATCCAGGTAGATCCTGAAAACAATTCTAATTTACAAATTAAGCACATCTTTATAGATTTATATATCATTAGAGGCTAAGCTGAATGTTTGTATTCTTCAGAGACCTGAACTTCAGATGTCTTTGTATGTAGGAATGTAGGACTTGTCAGTCCAAAAGATGGTAGTAAATGCGTGCCTGAATATGAATCCTTTAGTTTTTTCTAGTGTAGAACATGGGTACATGCAACTCCCTAGTTGTGTGGTTTAATTATCAGTTTATCAAGCAGTGTAAGGGCTTCCTGAACCAAGATCCTGCAGTGGAGTAGACGTGTGGGTGTGTTAACACTCATTGGAAATCCCTGCTGGAGTGTGTCTGTTGGGAACTGCTCTTGAGTCTGAGTGAATCGTGTATATATATAAAGGATTTGAGACTGTGTTGTGCCAAGTGTGTGTCCGTGTTTTTTTCTGCACAGACTCTGAGAGCTCTGAGGATGAGGCCTCGGCAAAACCAGCTGCAAAACCTGTTCCTAAGTCCACAACCCCCAGCGCTAAATCCCCAGCTGTAGCTACAAAGAAGGCGGATAGCAGCAGCTCAGATTCAGACAGTGACTCGGAGGATGAGAAGTCAAAAAAAACAGCCACCAGCAAACCTGCTGCCTCCAAAAGAGGGTCTAAACCATCCACACCAGCTGGGAAGGCAGTCCCAGCTGCTGGAAAGGCGGCCGCACCTGCTGAGAGTAGCTCAGGCTCCGATAGCTCTTCTGAAGAAGAAGAAACCCAGGCGAAGAAGGTCAAGTCAGCACCAGTGAAAACTCCTGCAGCCACCAAGAAGGCTGAGTCCAGCAGCAGCTCCTCTGACAGTTCCAGTGAGGAGGAGGAGGCACCAAAGAAGAAGGCAGCTCCCCAAACTCCTGGTACTGCTAGTAAACTCACACCTGCAAAGACGGTTCCAGCCAAAGGCACACCTACCGGGGCAAAAAAGAAGCAGGAGAGCAGCAGCTCCTCTGACAGCTCTAGTGAGGAAGAGGAAGAAGCCACTAAGAAGGCAGCTCCTCAAACTCCTGGTGCCACAAAGAAAGTCACACCTGCAAAGACTGTTCCAGCCAAAGGCACACCTGCCGGGGCTAAAAAGAAACAGGAGAGCAGCAGCTCCTCTGACAGCTCTAGCGAGGAAGAGGAAGAGGCTACAAAGAAGAAGGCAGCTCCCCAAACTCCTAGTGCTGCAAAGAAAGTCACACCTGCAAAGACTGTTCCAGCCAAAGGCACACCTGCCGGGGCTAAAAAGAAGCAGGAGAGCAGCAGCTCGGATACATCTGACAGCTCTG